ATATTGCTGCGCGAATCGAGCGCACAACTTCCTCCACACCACTTGGCAGGGCGAAGCGCTCGCTCTACAGCTTCACACATACAACTTGGGTTTCATCTATCAAACTCACTCCCCAATCCAACAAGATCGAACCACCATTGTCGTGTGAGGGGACCGCGTCGATCATCCTGCGCGTTAACATCAGCGCGTCGAGTGCGCCACGGCACGGCCGGACCCCAAATTAAGAATCTCTGACTCGCGTTTGTCCCCCTCCTTGAACCAGCCGGTTGCGCGATATTACTGATCATACCTTAAACCCACCTGGAACTAGCGATGTCGGTGCGTAATTCGCTGGCAAAGCGGAATCTCTTGTTGTTTTTCTACACATAAAAACATAACGTCTGTCCTCCAGGACTTCAGGCTTGCAGTTCGCGCCAAGCAGTGCTGGCATATGCCAAAGAGCAACTAACTTGCAGCTTCGTCGAAAACCAGAACCTTCCGAATGTCAGGAGGTACGTCGTCAGGTCCAGCGGGCATGTCCTTCTATAGCTTGCGGATCACGTTCTTGAGCTCCTTCATGGTGAATGCCCCCATGTCGATTGGAAGTGTGTCGCCAACAAGTGCTCGGTTGTTTGAAAGGTGAAAGAAAACTTGTACTCCCACTGTGTGGATTCACTACAATCTGTCATAGTATCAAGTTGTTCGGCCGTGTCCGAAACGGTGCCATCTTGGCGCTGTATGGTTACGTGCTGTACTGTTTTCGGCTGCCGTAAGTATCGCACTGCGTACCCACCACCATTCGCCGCAATACTATATAGCCATGTGCCTCGGTTGTGTTCCCCTGACGTCCGAAGTTTTTTGTGTAATCGTCGCTCGTTGTCGCGGACCCCGCGCCATCGGTCAACAGAACGCTCTTGATCAAGTCCAATGCCCTTTGGCTGGTCCGGGGCAGTTTGGCTTGAATACCTCTGGAAGGCAGGGTGGCAGCAGCAGGGGCGAAAGCATGCTGTAAACTCTCGGCTGCGATGATCAAGTGTTCTCTGTAAGGCTTTCCAATCGCGGCTTCACCACATTGTCCAACGAATTCGCCCTGAACGCCCTCGTCCTGAAGCGAGGTTTTGCCGACGCGACGTTGGCGTTGACGATAGAATTTGTGCTTGTTCGGATTCGATGCTGATGGTTGCCATGGTCAAAAAAAATCGGGCGTTCAAAATCACACCCGCGCAGCCCAACAGTCTCAGAGCGTAGCCAACATGCAGCAGTGGCAGAAAACGTGATCGATTCGCGAGAACGTTGCTGTAGAGATGTCGGCCCCCATGGGGTTGATGCCAATGCTCTGACACGTGATCTTCATGCAGTCTGGATGTTCCACAAGCGTATCCGCTACAGCCAAATCATACGCGAACTACATGTTTCCATCAACAGCTGCCTGTTTGACATTGGTTGCCCCTGATTTCTGGCAGTGTCGTCAGCAACATCACGTGGTGAAGTACTCCAATAACACTGCCGTCTACAGGTTTCACAAGGAGAACCTGCGCGTTGAAATCTTCGAAGATATATGATCCAGAGCTCCGGGCCCACGGGCCCCCCCCCAAATGGTATGGTTCCAAGATTCCTCGGGCCCCCCCCCCCGGATGGTATGGTCACAGAGACGACGACGACGCCGGCGACGACTAAGACGACGGCGACGACGACAACGACGACGACGACGACCACGACGACGACGACGGCTGCGGCGGCGACGACGCCAGCGGCGGCGGCGACGACGACGATGACGACGATGACGACGGCGACGACGACGACGACGAGGACGACGAGGACGACGAGGACGACGAGGACGACGACGACGACGACGACGACGACGACGACGACCTCTGAACCACCACAGCACCACACCACATCTACAGGGGGGGGGAGGGGGGCACCGCAGCGCAGCACCACGCCACGCCCACCTCTGAACCACCACAGCACCACACCACATCCACAGGGGGGGGGAGGGGGGCACCGCAGCGCAGCACCACGCCACGCCCACAGGGGGGGCGGGGGGGACCATCGCGCGGGGGGGGGGCCCAATGGCATCAGCATTGGTGGGGGAGGGAGGGGGGGGCCCAAGCCCTGGACCATATATGTGGCACTCTGAGTCGTTGTGGCACGGACTGCAGATTACAAATGCGTGTGAAAATCTCGCAGTACTTCGCACTCGAACCCCGATTGCGGTGCGTATGCACTGATGAATATCAGCAATCCTCTGGAGATTTTGACCCGTAGTGTGGCCATGCGGTCGTCGCTGACTTGGAAAGTGATCACAGAGTTCGCCACAGTAGGTGCGGCTTTGCACATCCAGACTGCCAGAGAAAATAAGTTATAGGTCTCTCGGACACATAGAATATCAACGCTGCTGCTGCCCATCATGTGCAGGAGTTCTTCTAGCTTGATCAACGAATCGCCACGCAAGCCTTCAACGTTTGCATTGATGGGGAAGCCCGAAGGTACCGACCCCGCTACTCCCTGGACCTCTCCCAAGGGGCGTTCTGACCAGAACCTCAAGGCGAATCCGCGACGAGGGCCTCCATCTGGAGTACGAGTTGCCCTGACGACGAGGACTCCCAAAGCGCTGGAGTCTTTTTGCTGGAGTCCGAGGTCGGCTATGACACCTGTCCACGGATAGGAACAAATCTGCGCACTGGAGGGAGATGGGAGGGAGGGATAGGATGTCAGACGAGGCGCGAGTGCACCTAGCTTGCATCTCTCCTCTTTCCTCTCTCATCTCTCCTCTCTCCTCCTGTCGCCCCTCTCTCTATCCTCTCTCATCACTCCTCACTCCTCTCTCCTCTCTGTTCCTCCTCCTTCTCGTCCTCCTCCTCCGCCTCCTCCTCATCCTCCTCCTCCACCTCCCTTCCTCCTCCTCCTCCTCATCCTCCTCCTCCTCCTCCAATTCCTCCTCCTCTTCCTTCTGGATAGCCCCCATAACCTCCATAGCCCCCATAGCCTCCATAGTTTCCATAGCCTCCATAGCCTCCATAGCCTCCATCGCCTCCATAGCCTCCATAGCCTCCATAGCCTCCATAGACTCCATGGCCTCCATGGCCACCATAGCCTCCACAGCCTCCATAGCTTCCATAGCTTCCATAGCCTCCAGAGCCTCCTCCTGCTCCTCCTCCTCCTCCTCCTCCTCCTCCCTCCTCCTGCTCCTCCTCCTCCTCCTTTACCCTCCTCCTTCACCCTCCTCCACCCTCTTCCACCCTCCTTCTCCTCCTCCTCATCCTCCTTCTCTTCCTGGTCCTCCTCCTGTTCATCACCCTTCTCCTCCTCCACCGCATCTTCCTCTGCCTTCCTCCTCCCCCTCTTCTTATGATTACTAGTTATAGCGCGGTATTACCACTCGTGCTACGTGTGGTATGATTATCACTCGTGTTACGTGTAGTATGATGAATACCACCCGTATTATTAGTAGTACCATCATTCGTGATAGTTGTAATAATAGCACTCCTGATAATAATCCAGATAGCTTTCTTACTAGTGTTAGAAATAGTACATTTCGTTTTCTTGGTTTGATTGTTAGTATCCCCTTTTTCTTCCCCCTCCTCACCATCATCCTCGTCATCATGAGCACCATCATCACCGCCACCACCGTCATCCCCCTCCTCCTCCTCCTCCAGAGCCTCCTCCTCTTCCAAAGCAGCCTCCTCCTCCTCCTGCGCGCGGAGCAAAGAAGAAGGGGAGAGCGGCCCCCTCCGTCCTGCCGACTGGCCACCTCCCCTCGATCGCCTCAACGGGCGATGGACTGGAGCACGCCGAGGGCGAGCTCCATGTGCGGGAACGGGCGGCAGGGGCAGGCGGTGGCTCCACTACGCGGGAAGCCTTACTATCGCCGACCCGTCCGCTGCCTCTCCTCCCTGCGGTGCCGGGCGCATCCACCGCCTAGACGAGCCAGGCTAGGAGGCGGTGGAGGTGGACCGGCCAGCCCGCGAAGTGCGGCAGGAAGTCGCCCCCGCGGGCGCCGGGCGCGCGGACCCACGCCGAGATCAGCGCGGCCCGCAGCTCGGGCCCGTCGTCGGCCGTTCTGGCCGCCGCGCCGACGGCAGCAGCAGCGGCTGCCGCGGTCGCCTCCTCCGCAGGCTGCCGCAGGCTGCGCGGCGACCCCCACCTCGCCGCCGAGCTGCGCTCCAGGCGACTCCCGACTGGGGGGCGCCAAAACCAGCACCCCAGCAGCAGCGTCGCCAGGCACGGCGGCGGGCGCACCAGCCGAGGGCGCAGGGTGAGACACGGGAGTGTACGCCCAGGCGTCGTCCTCAAGGCTGCTGCCGCCGTCATCGCCGTCCATGCCGCTGCCGTCGCGGCCGAGGTCGGGCGCGGTGGGCTCCACCTGCAAGCCAGCGCCGCGGCGCTTGCGAGCCCGCCGCCGACGCCGCCGAGGCCGAGGACCTGCAAGCGACGCGGCGCCCGCGGAAGCAGCAGGTGGCCCAGCCGCTCGCCCCTCGGCGCGGGCAGGCCGAGACCGAGACTCGGCCTCGAGCACTGCCGGCGCGGGGGCGGCAAAGGCCCTCCGCGGCTCGAAGCAGCCGAGCGGCCGCCGAGCCACGGGCCGGGCCCGCTGCGGCGTGCACCGCCAGCGAAGCCCCGCGGGCCGCTGCGAGCGCAGCGCGCGCATCGAGCGCCGCCGACATCGGAGGCCCGCGGCGAGCCGCCAGGCGGCGGCCCTGCGGCGGCGGGCACGACGCGGGAGCGGCTTGAGCCAAAATGGCTACGGACCCCTCCTCCTCCTCCTCCTCCTCCTCCTCCTCCAAAACCTCCACCTCCATATCCTCCTCCACAGCCTTCTCCATACCCTTCTTCACATCCTCCTCCAGAGCCTTCTCCATATCCTCCTCCCTGTCCTCCTCCATATCCTCCTCCTCCTCCTCCTCCTCCAGATCCTCCATATCCTCCTACACATCCTCATCCATGTCCTCATCCTCCTCTTCCTCCTCCTTCCTCCTCCTCCTCCTCCACCACACCCCGATTGAATCACCCCGTCGCACCGCCGATTTGTTGATGTACAGCGCCTCGTTGATGGCAGCAGTGAGACTGGCGTTCTGGTGCAGCCAGAACGTCTCTGGTGTCGTGCTGATGGGCAGCGACTTGATGTAGTCGAAGACGCAGGACATCGGGCCCACCTCTGGCGAGTAGTAGATCCCTCGCGGGAGGCGCGCGAACTGTCGTCTGCAAAAACCACCGAGGTGCCTCCCCCGTCCATCCCACGGGGTGCTATCAGCAGGGGCGAGGGGAGCGCTGGTGAGCGCCACGGGAGCGCCCACGCAGCGCCACCCTGTGGGCACGGAAAAGAGTGACAGACGGCGGTGGGGTGGCCGGAACGTCGGGTGCGAACGGGGCAGGCCATGGAAGACAGGCTGCACCCGTCACAAGGGCACCAGGCCCAAGCGGATGGCGCGAGCTAGTTTCGCTCTGTCGAGCACCGCGCCACCTACATCAACGTACACACTTCACGTGGAAAACCCTTCGGCACAGTTACATGTCTCTCCCGATGGACTTGCACACAGAAGCTCGTACAAGCTGCTGATGGCTTGTCTGCTGACGACCCCGCAGATAATTCGGGACGCGTGCCAATGGCAAGATCAGTCAGCATCGAATCTGGAAATCGGATTGAATCGGAGTGCGCGTCGTATCGGGCTGAATCGGCACGGAGTGAAAATCGAACCGGATCAGCCGCGCCAGGATGCACGACAGCGCCGTACCAGCATCGGGCCGCATCGGATCGTCGGAATATCGTAATCGAATCGGATCGAAACGGGCGATACCGACATCGGTTGCCCCATCCTCCCAGGCTGTTGGAGCAGGAGTGCGCGATGTGCAGGGTGCCTCTGGGTGTTGCCCACGGGCGCCAAAAGGGGGGCAGATGAGCGCTGCATGCGGGCGCAGGCTTCGCTTCTTCCTCGGGTCCAGAGCGGGATCATTGCACTGCCTGGGCAGCCCCGCGAAGACATCAGAGCCCTCTCGTCTGCCTGCCCTCGCCCGTGCCCTCACCGCACCGTCGCTTTCGGCCTCGTCTTCACGTGTATCGCCCTCATCACCATCAACACCACTGCAATCGGCATCGCCATCACCATCATACTCATCATCTGCGCACTCGCACCTCCACTCTGACCATCACCGCACCCTCACTGCCACCTTCTCACTAGCCGCGTTCACACTCTCACCCTCATCCTCGCACGCACTCTCAACTGCAGCGCACTCCAGAGCGTCGAGCGGCGGCTCTCAGGCTGCTCCAGAGAACAAATCCCCCCCCCCGAAAAAAGCTTCGAGGGACATTGACGTTCCTGCCTGCAGACCCTAACGCCGCAGACGCCCCTGACGCTCCGGGCAAACCTGATATCCCTGACGACCCCGACGCCCCTGACGCACCTGACGACACACGGAGCGCTCAAGAGTGCAACAGCTGTTGGCACTTTCTCCCTTTGGGCACCCTCTGCGCCCGCTCTCAGCAGCTCCACAACCGATCAGTGTGTCCAACTTTACGCTCGCCCTACACGGGCTCACTCACATGGCAAGCTTCACGGTCGACCGGATCTCGAGTGGCCTAGTCCTCCTCGACAATCTCCCAGGGCTTCTTCTTCTCGTAGCCGATCTCCTCGTACATGCGTTTCATGTTCTCGTGGGTGCAGGACGTGTAGAGCGGATCCTCGCAGAGGTAGCGGTTGATGCTGAAACACCACATCCAAGGGCGGCGATGGATCTGCGAACGGTTCGGGCGGTAGCCGAGAGGGTGGAAGTCACCCCAGTCGGGCTCGTTGTCGATCATGCACCACTTGTACTTGCAGGACATGTTACGCAGGCGGTGGTTGTAGTAGGGGAGGCAATACGTCCACTGCCTGTGGCGGTCTGGCAGAGGCTTGCGCATCTCCTGACTGCGCCCGTAGATGTCTGGGTTAAAAAACCACTGGCGCGAGAGGAAGCCGAACATGAGGCCCATGGCAAGGGAGCAGACGAACCAGTAGTTGTAGGAGGGGGCGTCGGCGACCCAGGCGTGGAGCCACTTCTCGTACATGAAGTCCGCCACGGCGGGGTCGTTCCACTTCTTCAGGAGGATGGTGTAGCGCATGCGGAATGAGAAGGTGGAGAACGAGCCGGACTCCGAGTAGGCAGACAGCATCTCAGAAGAGCGCGCCGGGCGCGCCATCCGCAGCCCGAGGCGTGCCCGCGACAGGAGCATCGCCATCGCGGCCGCGGAGCGCGAGCGGCAGGTCTAGCGGGCTGCGCGCGGCAGGGGGGCTGCCGCTCGAGCCGCTTGGGGCCATGCAAGCGTGGCTTCGCTTGTGTTCGCTTCGCTCTGGTTTGTTACGCTTGGCCTAGCCTGAAGTTGCATCATTGATCTCAGCGTGGTATGTGTGTACATATATGCATGCATGCATGTGTGTATGTATGAGTAAGGATGTGTGTCTGCACGTATGTACGTATGTTTGTATGTATGTGTGTGTATGCATGCATGTATGTATGTTTGTATGTATGTGTGTGTATGTATGAATGTAGGTATGTATGTATGTATGGATGGATGGATGGATGGATGGATGAATGGATGGATGTATGTATGTGTGTATGTATGTACGCATGTGTGTATGTGTATGTATGTGTGGTTGTGTGTATGTGTATGTATATATACATGTGAATGCGTGTATGTATGTATGCATGCATGTATGCATGTATGTATGATTATATGTGTGTATGTATGTGTATGTATGTGTATGGATGCATGCATGCATGTATGCATGAACGTATGCAATTACGTGTCTATATGTAGGTGTGTGTATGTATGGTTGTAAATGCGTATGTCTATGCGTATGTGTATGTGTGTGCATGTATGTGTGTATGCATACATGTATGCATGTATGTATGTGTATGTATGTGTGTATGTATGTATGTACGTATGTATGGATGGATGGATGGATGGATGGATGGATGGATGTGTGTATGTATGTATGTATGTGTATGTTTGTATGTGAGAGAGCGTGATCCATCGCCGCTTTACTTTAGAAAATTGCCAGCCTTTTCCTCCGGAACCCGGGGGTCGCCCCCCCCCCCCCTCCGAAAATCCCCCCCCCCCTGCTGGAATCCCCTTCCTCCCCCCCCCCCCCCCTCCCCCGGCAAAACCCCCCCCTCCCCTAACCCCGCCCCCCCCCCCCTTCGAAAACCGGGGGGGGTCACTACCGGTTCGAACCCCTCCCCCCCCCCCTCCGGATCTGGAAAACCGGGGGGGGTCACTACCGGTTCGACCCCCCCCCCCCTCGAAAACCGGAGGGGGTCACTACCGGTTCGACCCCCTCCCCCCACGCACCGCCAGCAAACGACTCCCGGTCCCTACCACCGTCCGCATCACATCCCCCACTGTTGTTCCCAGCACCACTGTCCTCACCACCACTGTCCCCACTGGTTCCACCACCGTCCCTACTGTCCCCACCAGTGCCCCCACCACTGTCGCACTGTCCCCACTGTTCCCACCACTGTTCCCACCACGGTTCCACTCTCCCCACTGTCTCCACGGACCCAACCAACCACTGCCCGACTATCCCCACTGTCCCCACTGTCCCACTGACTCCTCCGCTGTCCCACTGAGCTGTCCCACTGTTCCCACCACTGTCCCCACTGTCCCCACCACTGTCCCCACTGTACCTCTGTCCCATTGTCCCACCGCCGTCCTCGCCACCGCCTTCACCACTGTCCCCACCACCAGTGTACCCTCCACTGTCCCATTGTTTCCACCTCATTCCCACTGTCCCCACACCACTGTCCCCACCACCACCGTCCCACCACTGTCCACTGTCCCCCCCGTTCCCACCATTGTCCCCACCACTGTCCCCACCACTACCGTCCCCACCACTGTCCCACTGTCCCACTGTCCCCACCACTGTCCCGCTGTCCCCTCACCACTGTCCCCACCAACACCGTCCCCACCACTGTCCGCACCCCCACTCGGTTTTTGGGGAGGGGGGGGAGGGTTCGAACCGGTAGTGACCCCCCTCGGTTTCCGAAGGGGGGGGGGGGTTCGAACCGGTAGTGACCCCCCCCGGTTTTCCCCCCGGTTTTCATGATGAACTGGGGGGGGGGGAGGGGTTCGAACCGGTAGTGACCCCCCCCGGTTTTCCGGGGGGGGGGGGGGGGGTTCGGGGGGGGGGGGGGGGGGGGGGAGGGGTTCGAACGGGTAGTGACCCCCCCCCGGTTTTCCGCCAGCAGCGGTAGAACACGCTCTTTCGTATATGTTTATGTGTATGGATGCATGGATGTGTGTATGTATGTAAGTACGTGTGTATGTATGTGTAGATGTGTGTATGTATGTATGTATGTATGTATGTATGTATGTATGTATGTATGGATGGATGGATGGATGGATGGATGGATGGATGGATGGATGGATGGATGGATGGATGGATGGATGGATGGATGGATGTACGTATGTGTGTATGTATGCATATGTGAATGTATGTGTATGGCTGTATGTGTGTTTGTATGTGTGTCTGTGTGTATGGATGTATGTAATTATGTATGTGTGGATGTGTGTGTGTCTGCAGGTATATGTGTAAGTGTGTATTGGATGTATGTATGTGTGTAGGTTGTATGTATATACATAGATATATCTATATATATATATGTGAGAGAGAGAAAATAAAATGCTTTGCGGTGGGGGGGGCCAGTCCCCGGAGCCGCCAAAGAGCCCCGAAACTCCACCGGAGGGCCCCCAGAGGGCCCCGAAAGGGCACCGAAGAGCTCCCCAGAAGAGCTCCGCGACGGCCCAAGGAGGCCCCGAGACTACCAAAGACAGCTCCGAGATGACCCAGGACGGCCCTCAGACGGCCCAGGATGCTTCCAAGACGGCCCCGTAGGCCGCCAAGACGGCCCGGGACGGCTCCGAGGGGACACCCTAGAGCTGGATTTACGATGGTTTCCCATGGATTATGAGACTCTCGCGCTCTCAACCCACTGGAGACGGCCCAAGACGCGCCCAAAAGAGTCCCAAGACAGCCCAGGAGGGGCCCAAAGGGTCCCAAGAGGCCCCCAAGACGGCCCAATAAACCTCCAAGAATCCCCCAAGACGGCCCAACAAGCCACCAAGAGTGTTCTGGGACAGTCTGGGGGCCCTGTTGGGCTGTCTTGGTGCCCTCTTGGTCCCTGGAGCCCCTCCGGGTGCCCTCTTGGAGAGAGGAAGGAGGACGTGGAACGGGAGACGCGGGCGAACCAAGAGCAAGGGATGGATGCGGGAGAACGAACAGCAAAGGGCGGGGGAGACGATAACGCAGGGAGGGAGGCGGAGAGAGAAAGGCGTGAAGGAGAGACGAGGAAGAGGGAGGAGAGAAAATGACGCAGCGGGGAGAAAAGAAGAGGAGAGGAAGGAGTCGGATGTGGAACGGGAGGCGCAGAAGAAACAAGAACAGGAAAGAGAGGTGATCAGAGAGAACGGACAGCGAGGGATGGAAAAAAAGGAAGCGCACTCGGGGGCACGCCAAAGCCTGGGACATGAGGAAACAGAGGGATGAGGACCTTGAAAACAAATTGAGGGAAATCCCTTCCTTTTGAAGCTGGGCCTCCTATCACTGTGTGGGGCAGGATGCTGGGTGAGGGCGGCGGAGGGAGGAAGGAGCGAAGCAGAGATGAGGAGGAAGGAGCGAAGGAGCGAAGGAGGAAGGAGCGAAGGAACGAACCTCCTTATCACCCGAAGGGTGGTCGTGTAGATATGCGTGTGCAGATATACGTCTCAGCACACATGTAATCATAAGACGTGGATGTAATTGTTCAGAGTCGCTTCCGTTGGCTGTCTTAGCCAAGCTGCGCTCGGCAAACTTCGCTGAGCTGAGCGAGACTGGGATGGGTTGCGCGACTTCAGCTAGGCCAACCACTGGGCCCAGTTGAGCCGAGCAAGGCCATGCCAGTGCAAGCCAAGCCAGACCGACCGAAAACAGCCTGAACTAACATGAGACAATCTCAGCCTTGCCAGCCTCAAATCATTAGCGTAGCGCTGCCTCGCCTCACCTCGCCCAGCCGCCGCTCAGCCCAAAACATTTAAAAGACGGATCCTTAGGTATCCTCGCAAGCCTGGGCGTGCACAGCAGCACGAGGCCTCCTCACAAGAAGGCTCGAAACAATCGGGGTCCGTCGCCTGCCCTGGCGAAGCAAGCCAAACACATGTGTGATCACACAGCGATGATATGATCGTGCTCTCTCGCGACTCTACCCTACAAGACTCGTCATACATAAATTCTAGACGCTTCGCGTTACCCTGGCAGCCCATCCAGAACGATGCCCAGGGGAATTGCCTCGATCAGGGATGTGGGCAGCACACAGAGGGAAGGGTCCCCCAATGGAGGCCTCTTGGAGCGTCTTGGGGGCCTCTTGGCGGTCCTGGACGCCGCTTAGAGCGTCTTGGGTGCCTCGGAAAGCGTTTTGGTGCCTCTTGGGGGTCTCTTGGGAGCCTCTTGGAAGCCTCTTGGGCGCCTGTTGGGGCCTACTGGGGCCTCCTGGACGCCGCTTGGGGCCCTCTTGAAGCGCTCTTGGGAGCCTTGGGAGCGCTCTTGGGGCCATCTTGGAGGACATCGATCAAACAAAAGGGGAGCATTGGGGCTCTCTTGAGCCTCTCTTGGAGTCCTCTTGGGCCGTCTTGGAGCCATCTTGGGGCCTCGGATGGCCATCGGAAGCGAGAAGGCGAGCAAGCCAAAAGCATCGATGTCCCTAAGGTTTGGGAAAAATCATAGCCTCTTCGGGGCCTCCCTGGGGAGCTCTTTGGCCACTTGGAGCCATGTTGGAGCGGTCTTGGGGCCTCTTGGGGCATCGTGGGCGTCATTTCAAAACATCTTGCGATATCTTGATGCCATCTTGGAGGTCATCGTGGGCTCTCCCAGGCGCCCTTCGAGTCATCTTAATCAGTGTCCCCCCCCCAGGAGGCCAAAATGTAGCCAAAACGTTAGTAAAGTCAATGAGATTGGCATTCTCGCTCAGGCCTCTTGAAGCGTCTTGGGTGCCTCTGGGAGGCCTCTTGGGAACTCTTGGGGGTCTCTTGGGAGCCTCTTGGGCGCAGCTGGGGGCATCTTGGGCCCTCCTGGCCACCTCTTGGGGCCCTCTTGGGGCACCCTTGGGACCCTTCGGAGCGCTCTTGGGGTCATCTCGGAGGAGACCGATCAAAGAAGGGGGGTTCCTTAATTACGGTCACCCCTCCAGGAAGCCAAAATGGGGCCAAACATTAGTGAAACCAATGATCTTGGCTTCCTCGCCGAGGCCGTTGAAGGGTAAACCCCTCCCCCAAGGGGAAGAAGGAGGGTGGAAAAGGAAACGCCCTAAACCACCTACGCCCTAAAGGGTTGGTGGGATTGACGGTTTTGTTTTCGGCGCTTGCGCGGTCGACGCTACTTCAATGCTGGCAAGAAGTGGTTGGCCAACACGCAGGGGTGTCCGAAATCCGGCAGTGCCCTCACAGCATTGAAGAACGCGTTTTCTGACAAGTGCCAGAAATATCGAGCGCTTCGATGTCGAACGGCGTCTCGAGTTATTTTTAACGAGGCTTATAGGATGCACGGATGGCCACATCCAAGATGGCTACACGAGCATCAGATGCACCGAGGGGCGCGAGAAGTTCCCCGTCGCAGCCGCCCAGGACACCTCGATCACTGCCCCCGTCCCTCTCCCCCTAAAGCACCTAAAAGATCCCGCGGACCCGCCCCACCTTGAATCTTCCCAGGAGTGCCCCTCATCAGGCCCGCGAGACGCAAAAGGACCGACCCCCCTCGGGACAGCTCCAGGAAACTCCCGGGCCCGGAGCCAGCCCAGGAATCCCCTCTGGACGGTGGCGGGCGAGGCAAGCGACAGGGGAGCAGGTCAGCAGGTGTGGCAAGCACGCTGCACGTCACAGCAGCATGGTCGGCCTGTCCGAGTCCATCTCCGGTATTGCAGCGGGTGCCGCTGGGGCCCCCATCGCGCGCGAGCGCGGGCACGCGCGCGCACCGCGGGCAGCAGCCCCAGCCTGAGACGGAGAACTTGTAGTCCTCCTCGAGGATCTTGGGCGTGTAGAAGTCCTTGAGGATGTTGACGATGGCCCTGGCGGGAGGGAGCAGCGCTCGGAGCTCTCAGCGCTGAAGCCATCATCAGCCACCATCACTGCCACCACCGTAGTCATCAGAATCCTCACCCTCACCACAACACCCGTCAGCATCATCGCCACGATCATCAGCCTCATCATCACCGTTGTCGTCATTACCCACATCATCCGAATCAGCGTCATAAGGAGTGCGAAAAATGAGCGATCCGGGCTGGAAAGCACAACCTCAGCAGGATCACGAAGGGCGTGCAGCCTGGTGGGTCGCGCTTCGCCATCGACTTCATCAAGAAGAAGCTGGGGAAGTAACTGAGAGAGGATGAGCCACGCTGCCGTTCGCAGCGGACGGATGCACTTTGCAGAGCCTCGGCCACTGGCGGCGTGGCCCCGTCGTCGTTGTCCTCGTCGTCCTCGTCGTCATCGTCGTGGTCGTCGTCGTTGTCGTAGTTGTCGCCGTTGTCGTCGTCGTCGCCGTCGCCGTCATCAAAATGCTCATCATCATCAGCAGCCGCAGCATCGGCATCATCATCATCACAATTGCATCATCAACAACATCATGATTAGCATCATCGTCGTCATCATCGTCATCGTCGTCGTCAGCAGCAGCATCATCAACGTCATCAGTCAACATCAGCATCATCATCATCATCATCAGCAGCAGCATCGGCATCAGCATCAACACCATCATCAACACCAGTACCAGTAGCATCGCATCATCCCCATCATCAGCAGCAGCAACATCAGCCTCAACATCATCGTCGCCATCATCGTTGTCAACATCATCAGTATCAGTGTCGCCATCAGCATCAGCATCGACAGCAGTACCATCAATTGTCAACACCATCATAATCATCGTCATCATCATCAGCAGCAGCATAATCATCATCATCCCCCTCTTCCTCCTCCTCAGCATCATCAGCACCATCATCATAATCATAATCAGCATCAGCATCAGCATCAGCATCATCATCATCATCAGCATCATCAGCAGCAGCAGCATCCTCATCATCGTCGTCGTCAACCTCATCATCAGCATCATCATCAGCAGCAGCATCATCAGCATCATCATCATCCGTAGCCATGATGGCTCAAGCCATTTGGCAGACCTCTCGCAGGCGCCCAAGCGCTACGGTCAGCGGCTCGCATTTGGGAGAGACGGCGGGGCGGCCAATCATGCGGGTCAGGCGGGTCAGTGCGATGCGCAGGAAGGAGGAGGCCGAGGTAGGCGCCTCGGCGGCCCGCCGTCGGGCGCGGGCACGGCGCCTCCTCGCGGCCGAGGCAGCAGTCAGCAAGGCGGACAGAGGCGGCCAAGGCTCCTGGCAGGACCGTGAGGCTGCTGCGCGCCCTGCCTTGCGCCTCGCCGCCGCGGGAGGTCGCGTCCCTGGCGCAATGGGGCGGCGGCGGAACGCCGCATGGCACGCGCTGCTGGCCCCCGCGGGCGGATTCGCGCGCGCGTCCGCGGCGGGCATAGCGCGGGCCGCCGCAGGCCCCCCACCTGGGCTGACTGCCCCCGCTCCCGGAGGCGGCCGCGGTGTCCTTCGGCGACTTCGATGCCGCACCCGAAGAGCACTGCTGGGTTCTCGGTGCCGAGGACGAGGACCTCTGCGAGGGAGGGCTGGAGGACCTGAAAGGCATGCTCGTGCGCAAGTTCGGCCTGGACCTGGGCAAAGACGAGGGCCTCTGCGAGGACAGGCTGGACGACATGACGGGCCTGCACTAGCGCGAGGCCGGTCTGGACCTGGACGAGGACGAGGGCCTCTCCGAGGACAGGCTGGAAGACCTGAAAGTCGTGTACAGGCGCAAGTTCGGCCTGGACCTGGACAAGGGCAAGGGCCTCCGCGAGGGCAAGCTGGAGGACCCGAAGAGCCCGAACATGCGCGAGTTCGGCCTGGACCTGGGCGCGGACGCGAGCCTCTGCGAGGACAGGCTGGACGACCTGAGGGCCTGCGCAGGTGCAAGTTCGGCCTGGATATGGACGAGGACGAGGGCATCTGCGAGGATAGGCTGGACGACCTGAAGGGCATGCACAAGCGCAAGTTCAGCCTGGACCTGGTCGGGGGCGAGGGCCTCTGCGAGGGCAGGCTGGAGGACCCGAGGGGCCCGTGCATGCGCGAGTTCGACCTGGACCTGGGCGAGGACGGGGGCCTCTTCGAGGGCAGGCTGGAGGACACGAAGGGCCTGCACAAGCGCAAGTTCGGCCTGGACCTGGACGAGGACAAGAACCTCTGTCCGGACAAGCTGGCTTAGGACCTGAAGGGCACGCACACGTGCAAGTTCAGCCTGGACCTGGTCGGGGAGATCGGGCTTGAGGACCTGAAGGGCAGGCTCAAGCGCGAGCTCGGCCTGCACCTGGACAAGGACGATGGCCTCTGCGAGGACAGGCTGGACGACACGAAGGGCCTGCGCAAGCGCGAGGTCGGCCTGGACCTGGGCGAGGACGAGAGCCGCTCCGAGGAAAGGCTGGAGGACCTGAATGGCATGCACAAGCGCAGGTTCAGCCTGGACCTGATCGGTGACGAAGGCCCCTGCGAAGGCAGGCTGGAGGACCTGAAGGGCCCGTGCATGCGCGAGTTCGGCCTGGACCTTGACGCGGACGTCGGCCTCTGCGAGGACAGGCTAGAGGACCTGAGGGGCTTCCTGTCTGCGGACGAGCTTCTGGAGGCCGGGGCCGCCTCCCGCATCGCCCTCGCGGCGGCCAGCATCTTCCTGGGGGTCCCACTCGGGGTCTTTCAGGCCTAAGCCGACCCTGAGCCCGCTTGATGTCTGTTGCAGCGCTAGCTGCGTACTAGCCCGCGGGTGTCATGGGCTGAGTCGCCGTAACTGTTCGGATTGCGTGTCTTCCGCTTGCTTCGGCTGGGGCGGGGGCGGCCTTTCGGCACTCAGGCGAATCTGCGAGGGTGCCTTGGACACGAGACTGAGCGTTGCCTCCGCGGGGCCAAAGGGAAACGCCTCGGTCCGAGGGGCACTCCGAGCGGGGGAGCTCCTGACCCCTTCAGACGCGTGGATCATCATCATCATCATCATCATCATCATCATCATCATCATCATCATCATCATCATCATCATCATCATCATCATCATCATCATCATCATCATCATCATCATCATCATCATCATCATCATCATCATCATCATCATCATCATCATCATCATCAATCATCATCAGCATCATCATCATCATCAGCATTATCATCATCATCATCATCATCATCATCATCATCATCATCATCATCCTCATCATCATCCTTATCATCAACATCATCAACATCATCAGCATCGTCATCATCATCAGCATCATCATCATCCTCCTCATCATCATCCTCATCATCATCCTTATCACCATCATCAACATCATCAGCATCATCGTCATCATCATCATCATCATCATCATCATCATCATCATCCTTATCATCATCATCATCATCAACATCATCAGCATCATCATCATCATCATCAACATCATCAGCATCATCATCATCATCATCAGCAGCAGCAGCAGCATCGTCAGCATCATCATTATCATCGTCATCATCATCATCAGCATCGAAATCATCATCATCATCAGCATCATGATCAGCATCAGCATCAGCATCAGCAGCAGCATCAGCAGCAGCAGCCTCAACGTCTTCATCATCAGCAGCAGCATCATCAGCAACATCATCATAAGCATCAGCATCAGCATCAGCATCAGTGTCAGCAGCAGCATCATCATCCGCATCATCAGCAGCATCATCATCAGCTGCATCAGCATCAGCAGCATCAGCATCATCAGCAGCATCATCATCAGCATCAGCATCATCATCAGCATCATCGTCGTCGTCAGCATCATCATCATCAGCATCAGCATCCTCACCATCAGCGGCAACATCCTCACCACCACCACCATCATCATCATCATCAGCAGCAGCATCATCAGCATCATCACCATCCTCATCATCAGCATCGTCATCATCAGAATCATCAGAATCAGCAGCATCATCATCATCAGCATCAGCATCGTCAGCATCATCAGCATCATCATCATCAGCAGCATCATTATCAGCAGCAGCATCATCAGCATCGGCATCAGTCACACCAGCATCACCATCATCATCAGTATCATCATCATCGGCAGCATCCTCATCAGCATCAGCATCATCATAGCCATCAGCATCAGCATCCTTATCATCATCAGCAGCATCATCAGCAGCATCATCACCATCATAGTCATCAAGTTCATCGTCTTACGCATCAATATCATCAGCATCAGCACCGTCATCGTCAGCATCGTCATTATCATGAAAGTCAGCATCATTAGCATCACCATCCTCATCAGCAGCATCAAAATAATAATCAGCATCATCCTCGACATCACCATCATCACATCATCATCAGTATCATTATCAGCATCATCATCAGCAGCAGCAATATAAGTAGCATCATTATCATCAGCATCATCATCAGAATCAGCATCATCAGCTTCATCATCATCATCAGCAGCAGCATCATCATCATCACCGTCGTCGTCGTCATCGTCATCATCGTCGTCATCGTCATCGTCATCGGCGCCGTCATCGTCATCAGCATTGACCTCAGAATCAGCATCAGCATCAACATCATCAACATCATCATCAACAACAACATTATAATCATCATAATCGTCGCCATTGTCGTCTGCATCACGATAAGCGCGTTTGCTCCTTACCAAGCGCCTTCGGTCCTGACTGTCCGTGACGCGCCCGCCGTAGTTGGCCTCCGCGACCATGTAGTTCAGCGCCTGATTTCGACAGGCGGCAAACTACATCAGGGGAGTCCCATCAACAATCATTCGTCTATCATCATACTCCTACGACTCCTCCTCCTCCCCCTCCTCGTCCTCCTCCTCCCATTCCTTTCCCTCTTCCTACTCACTTCGCCTCCCTCCTCCTCCCTCCGTCCTACTCCCCCATCCGTTCGTCCATCCTCCCTCTTCTTCCCTCCCTCCATCCATCCCTCCCCTCTCCCTCCCTCACTCATCCGCCTCATCCTCCTTACTAACAATTTCCGTTTCCCCATGCCTCCTCCTCCTCCTCCTCTTGATCAATTTTCCTCCTCCTCCTCCTCCTCCTCCTCCTCGTCCTGTTCCTCCTCCCTCCCTCCCTCCCTACCTACGTCCTTCCTTCCTTTTCTCCCGCCCTTCATTCTTGCCTTCACCCGTTGCCCCTCATCCCCCCCCCCATCCCGACTCATCCCATCTCGCTTTTCCACCCTCCCCCTTACCCTCCTGCTCCTGTGTTCTCCACACTGTTCCCTCGAGAGCCACGGGGAAAAGGAAAACGAGGAGGAGGAGGAGGAGGAACGGGCGGAGAGGAGGGGAAGCCGCCGATGGGGCACCTCGTAGGGAACCCCCTCGAACTCGTTAAGGAAATTCCTGAGCTGCTGCCGCGAAATATCCCGGTCGGGCTCCGAGAACCCGTAGGCGACGTTCCAGCCAACGGGCCCGAAGCCACGCCTCAAGGAGCGCGGACGAGGAGGGGGGGGGCCTCATCCTTCTCCTCTTCCTCTGCCTCCTTCTCCTCCTCCTCCTCCTCCTCCGCCTCCTCCTCCTCATCCCCATCCTCATCCTCATCCCGCATCAGTCGTCGGTCTGACCTGGCAAAAGCATTTGTGCAGCCGTAGTTGGAATAGACAGTGCTGTAGTCCGCCTCTGTGGCTATCCACTGTGTGGCTTGCACCGTAAGGATAGCGTTTCCCGGACTGCGATGTGCAATACGACCCTGTGCCCAGGCTGGATGCACCGCGAGCCCTTCTCTTCCCGGCAGCCCCGAAGGCCAACTCATACCGAAACTGCAGTACACATGCATAATCCGCTTCCCTGCAATCCATGGTTTGTGGGTGTTTTTTATCGCCAAAGGCAATGCTCCGACGCCAGTCGAGGGGCGCGGTTTGGGCGCCCGACACAGTCGCAAGAGACCGCCCAACATTTGCTGAAACCTGCCCCCTCCGCCCCCCCCGGCGCGCAACGTCTCTGCCCCCACTCCTGCATGCTCTGCCTTTCCCACAAAATACAGCTGCACATTCACATGAGCAAGCTCTACACCGTCCCGTTGCTCTTCATGGTGTCCCAACTTGCTCCCTGGAAGCCACCCCCCACCTTCTGCAACATTGTACATCCCTTCTTATAGTTGAACAGTGACGTGTGCCTCGATATCTCCTCCTCGTCCTCGGCTGTTTTAGCTCTTGGCATGGCTTGTTGTTCCAATCGTTCGCTCGCATGAAGAGGGCTCTCTAGGTGGGCTTGGGGGTCCAACGGCAACCACGCTCTGTCGATCGGCAAGCCCCTTGCTGGCCAGGCCCGTCGTTGCTGTGCCCTCTTACAATAGTTGCAGCATGGCTTGTTTGCCCCGCTCTACAGCATGGAGAACGTCTCCATCTAGTGGTAAAGGCAGAGTGTCGCGTGGTACTCTCCGTGCTGTCTTCGGACAGTCTCTGGGCACATGCCCCCCCCCTTGCCCCCCCCCCCATTGTCCTCCTTCGTGGGGGAGTCTTCCGAGCTCATCCAGTCACGTGGCAGCGGTCCAGTGTGTCTTCGGGAAAAGTAGCGCATCATTATTGGTTCTCTGCCGTTGGCATCGCATGCAATCCTCAGCCTGCGCATGTCTGCGAAATTGGATGCTTCGTAAGCCGCGTACGCCCCCATATCTGCGCGACACTATGTGTCCTCCTTCTGACAAGGAAACCTTCTTTCTGCCGTTTGAATAGTGCCGTCACACCCACAATCGCAAGCTCTGCAACGATTGCCGTCATCTAGAAACCTGTCGCGCCTGGTTGCAACTGGGACCTTCTGTCCTTCATCAAGCTGAGAAGTTCCATCCGTCTCTGTCGAACCGCCACTCCATCTTCGTCGGGATAATCTGGCTTTCCACCGAAAGACGCACGAAGCGCCTTCCTCGTGGCTTCTCCAAACAGCTGCCATGCTTGGTCTGGTGTGCTCCTCTGCATTGCCTCCTCCACTTCTCCTCTCCTCCTCGAACTTCTCAAAGAAAACAAGCCGCCCCTCCCCCTTCCGCAGACAGTTCATCCGCTTGTCCCCGTATACTCCCTTCTCGTCTCTACGGCAGATGGGGTGGAACTTCTGGCCGATGTGTAGAGGGAAGGACAAGGAGACTGGCATGTGGTCCCTGAACCAGACACTTCTTATCAATTGGAGTCATTTGCCTGCACCCGTAAGTGTAGTGCTGGCGGTACTGAGGCCAATCGCGCCTGCCGGGATGAGCATGTGATCTATGCGGCTCTCAGTTCCCTGGGGCCCGAAATAGGTGGGGGCCAGTGTCGGAAAATGCCGTAGTCACCGCTAGCCCATTTCTTTCGCAAAACTGTCGTACTGCCCTGCCGTTGTCGTTCCCGTGTGTGGGTGCGGTCGTTCATATGTGCCGTCCTGCGCTGCTGTGCATGATACCGTCCTGAACCGTACGGAACGCCAAATCTGAATAAAGGCCCGCTCCTATGATCGGCGTAGTTCGGCATCCTAGTCGATCGCATTCGTACTCTAGCCAATTAACTAGTTTGTAACCAACTGCTGTGTTGTTCTTGAAGCAGGTGGAGGCAAAGAAGACAGCATATACAGCAGCATATATACTTGTATGTGTATGCGCACACCCGTTGCCCGACCCTGCAACTGTGCAGGTGGGAGAATACTACGTCGCAGACTTTCTGGTGGGAGACGCTTTGTGACAAGTATTTTCGTGCCGCACACCTTGCTGATCAGCTTGCCCCATTTGGGATCCGAATCGCAGGCACCAATGCTGCAGGAGATTAATATTTCGTGTAGCGTCTAGGCCTGCCCTCTCGTGCCCCACTTAGAATCACAGTGTCTACATCTCTGAGCGTGATACGAATATCCAACAGACGATCCGATCCACTAGCTGCGTATGGGTTGTACGCGACAACCTTCATCTTCTCCTGCTGTCGGCCGCGGGTCGGTCTCATGGCGCGCGCGTGCGATCTCCCGCCCTCCTCTCTGGCCGTCGTCAACTCTCGGGAGGGGGCTGTGCAACTCGGAGCCAAGCACTCTTTGCGAGCGGGCACGGTCGATACAAATCTGGGCCCCTCGCGGCGACTGGGAGGAGGAGGAGGAGGAGGAGGCGGAGGAGGAGGCGGAAGAGGAGGAGGACGAGGAGGAGGGGGAGGGACAGGGACAGGGGGAGGGGGAGGAGGGGGAAGGGGAAGGGGAGGGGGAGGAGGAGGAGGAGGAAGCGGAGGAGGAGGAGGAGGAGGAGGACGACGACGAGGGGGGGGGGAGGGGAGGGGCAGGGGAGGTGGAGGGGAGGGGGGGGGAGGGGGAGGAGGAGGAGGAGGAGGAGGAGGGAGGAGGAGGAGGAGGAGGAGGAGGAGGAGGAAGGGCGACAGCAGCACGGAGACAGGCGAGAAGCGGGCCAGGGAGGATCGAACGCAGCAGAAGGGCTTCTGAATCCCACCAGCCCTCTAGGCCTAGGTGGTTTAGCGCTTTCCTCTTCCAGTTTCCCCTCTTCACCTTCGGGGATGGGGGTGACCCTCCCCCTTTTACCCCATCCCCTGGGCTTGAACGGGGGCGCCTCACGAGGTGTCAGAGGGTCCTTTGGGGCCCAACATGGCTCCAAGAGCGCCTCAGAGAGCCCAAGATGACCTCCAAGATGGCCCAATAGCGTTTCCCAGATGCTCCAAGAAGCCCAAAGACCGTTCCAAGACGGCCCCAAGTTGTCACGGAGCCTTCCACGGAGGCCGCCGAGAGGCCAAAATCCTACAACTACCAAAAAAGACATCAATGAATGCAGCCTTCTCGCCGTCTTGCTTTCGATGGCCTTCCGAAGCCTCAAGATGGCTCCAAGAGAGCCCAAGAGGGCCCCGAGAGAGGCCCAAGAAAGCCCCAAGACGGCCCCAATAGCGTCCAAGAGCGCCCCAAGAGCGCTCCAGGAGGGGCCCAAGGGGCGATGTGGGGGGCTTCCGAGGGGGGACGCTAGTTAAACAACTCCCCTACTTTGGTCGAGCTCTTCCACGAGAGCCCCAAGGGGGCCCCAAGAGCGCCCGAAGTGCCTCCGCGAAAACCCCAAGAGAGACCCAATACTGCTCCAAGAGACCTCCGAGAAAACACGTCCAAGGCAGAGACCTCCGAGAAAACACTTCCAAGGCGGTTGTTACTCTGCATGCTTCTACACTTCCCTGATCAAGGCAACTCGCCTGGCGATGTGTGTTTCTGGATAGGCTGGTGGGGAGACGCGAAGCGTCAAGAATTTCTGTCGTTTGGCTCCGCTGCTGTCATCGTCCTCATCTGCACATGCGAGCGTCAAAACTTGCTCGTTCGGCCCGGATTAAGCCAGGTCTGTCCCCCTACAGGGGGATGTTGGGCGAATAAGCAAAGATGCCCAAAACATACCCTTAAAACATGCTCAAGAACAGTCAAAAAATAGTCCCCATACTAAGTTATACTATTTTTGAATGTTCCCCCTGTAGAGGGACAGACCCGACTTAAGGCCAAGAGGAGACGAGGAAACGCCGCCTCTCCAGAATCAGACCGTGGAAGAAGCAGAGGCCGAAGAGCATCTTCTTGAACTCGCGGGGCTTCTGGCAGCTCTCGTACCACTCCTCGTCGAAGGCCAGGTAGGCCCGCAGCAGCGCCTGCCGATGGCCCAGGCAGCCCCCTCCTCGCGCCGACCAAGATTCGCGAGGCCCTGCATGGTAAACTCGGCGGCCACGAATACCGCTACAATCGCAATGCTTCCATAAGGAACGCTGAATAACGAGCGAGAGGGATCGTCTGGCCGCGGCGAGCCCAGGAAACCGAAAGATGCCCGAGGAGGCTCAAAAACAGCCCCCAAGAGGCCTCAAAACCGCCTCCCAGACGCCCCCGAGAGGCCGCCGACGAGATTCCAACGAACATCCAATAGGCTTCATATCCACAACTCAAGCACGATGGCGGGACGGGCCGAAAGCCACTACACCTGGCCCGGCACGGAAACGGAAAGAGCGCTTCAGAAGCAGAAACCGAAATTACTCACACCACCGTTCGTACTGGGAGCCTTGGCGTTGAGAGCTTGTGACGTCACCCCTCACTCTTGGGAGCCTTGGTGTTCAGAGATTGTTGCGTTGCCGCCCGTTCCTGAGCCTTGGCTGGGCCTTGGTGTCAGGAACTTGTTACATCACCGCTGTCTGCTGGGAGCCTTGGTCTTATCAGCGTGTTTACGTCACCGTTCGCTCTTGGGAGCCTTGGTGTGAAGAGCTTTTTGCGTTGCCGATCGCTCTGGGCGTGTCTGGGCCTTCGTGGGAGTCCTATTGGGGCCCTTTTCGGGCCCTCCTGGTGGCCTCTTGGGGGCCTCTTGGGGGGGGGGGCTTCTTGGGGGGCTCTTGAGACCTCCCGGGAGCTTCTTCGGGCGAAAGGCTAAACTTTCGGGTTCGTGGTCCCCCTCTCGGGGCCGTCTTGGGGCCCTCTTGGGCCGTCTTGGGCGCATCTTGGGCCGTCTGGGGGCCCTCTGGGGCCGTTTGGGGGGCCTCTTGAGAGCCTCTTGGGCCGTCTTGGGGCGGTCTTGGGGGCCTCTTGGGCCGTCGTCAACGCCGTGAGAGCCGAAAAGCCGCGCATGCTAAAAAAGTAACGTTTTCCAAAAAAAATATGATTTGGGCATCCTGTTGGCCTCCTGGGACGCCTCTTCGGGGCCTCTTGGGGCTTCTTGGGGAGCTGTGGGGGCCTCCCGGGAGCGTCTTGGGACGATAGGCTAGACTTTGCGGTTCGTGGTCCCCCCCTCGGGGCCGTCTTGGGGCCCTCTTGGGCCGTCTTGGGCGCCTCTTGGGCAGTCTGGGGGCCCTCTGGGGCCGTTTTGGCAGCCTCTGGGGAGCCTCTTGGGCCGTCTTGGGGCGGTCTTGGGGGCCCCTTGGGCCGTCGTCAACGCCGTGAAAGGCGACAAGCCGTATATGCTAAAAATGTACGTTTTCCTGTGGAAAATTGAAAATGTTAGCCTCTTGGGGCCGTCTTGGGACTCCCCTTGGGCGCCTCTTCGGGGCCTCTTGGGGGCCTCTTGGGCCGTCTTGGACGGTCTTGGGCGGTCTTAGACTCTTCTGGGACGGAAAAGAAGAGAAATCAGAAAAACATGCAAAAACCCTATGGAAAACCCCCCAAAACGGCCATTAACACCTGGCCCGGCACAGAAACGGAAAGAGCGCTTCAGAAACAGAAACCGAAATTACTCACACCACCGTTCGTACTGGGAGCCTTGGCGTTGAGAGCTTGTTACGTCACCCCTCGCTCTTGGGAGCCTTGGTGTTCAGAGATTGTTGCGTTGCCGCCCGTTCCTGAGCCTTGGCTGGGCCTTGGTGTCAGGATCTTGTTACATCACCGCTTTCTGCTGGGAGCCTTGGTCTTATCAGCTTGTTTACGTCACCGTTCGCTCTGAGGAGCCTTGGTGTGAAGAGCTCTTTGCGTTACCGATCGCCCTCTATTGGGCGTCTCTGGGCCTTCTTGGGAGTCCTATTGGGGCCCTTGTCGGGCCCTTGGAGGCCTCTTGGGAACCTCTTGGGGGCCTCTTGGGGCTTCTTGGGGGGCTCAGGGAGCCTCCTGGGAGCTTCTTGAGGCGAAAGGCTAGACTTTTCGGTTCGTGGTCCCCCTCTTGGGGCCGTCTTGGGGCCCTCTTGGGCCGTCTTGGGCGCTTCTTGGGCCGTTTTGGCGCCTTCTTGGGCCGTTTTGGGGGTCTCTTGGGAGCCTCTTGGGCCGTCTTGGGGCGGTCTTGGGGGCCTTGGAGCGTCTTCAACGCAGTGAAAGCCGAAAAGCCTTGTATGCTAAAATGTACCTTTTCCAATAGGAAATCAATGATTTTCGCCTCCCGGTGGCCTCTTGGGACGCCTCTTGGGGGCCCCTTGGGGCTTCTTGGGGGGCTCTGGGGGCCTCCTGGGAGCGTTTTGGGGCGAAAGGCTAGACTTTGCGGTTCATGGTCCCCCTCTGGGGCCGTCTTGGCGCCCTCTTGGGCCGTCTTGAGCGCCTCTTGGGCCGTCTTGGGGCCCTCTTGGGCCGTTTTGGGGGCCTCTTGGGAGCCTCTTGGGCCGTCTTGGGGCGGTCTTGGGGGCCTCTTGGGCCGTCGTCAACGCCGTGAAAGCAGACAAAGCGCCCATGCTAAAAATATACGATTTCCTTTGGGAAATCTATGATTTCGGCCTCTTGGGGCCCTCTTGGGACGCCCCTTGGGCGCCTCTTGGGGGCCTCTTGGGGGCCTCTTGGGCCGTCTTGGGCGGTCTTGGGCTCTCTTGGAGCGCTCTTGGGCCGTCTTGGGGGGGAACCCGAAGAACATGCAAAAACCTGAGGGAAAACCCGAAAACGGCCATTAACACGCAGTTGTGCACGCTACCCCCCTCCCCTGGAACCCCTCCCTTTAGGGCTTTGCCCACACCAGAACGTCATCACTCGTACCTCGCTCTTTCCGTTACATGCAAAAACCGAGGGAAAACCCGAAAACGGCCATTAACACTCAAATGTGCACGCTACCCCCCTCCCCTGGAACCCCTCCCTTTAGGGCTTCGCCCACACCAGAACGTCATCACTCGTACCTCGCTCTTTCCGTTACTCATTCGTGCGCGGTACGCACCCCCTGGAACCCCCATTAAGGGGCTTCGCTCACACCAGAACGTCATCGCTCGTACCTCGCTCTTTTCGTTACCTGGCCCGGCACGGAAACGGAAAGAGCGCTTCAGAAACAGAAACCAAAATTACTCACGCCACCGTTCGTACTGGGAGCCTTGGCGTTGAGAGCTTGTTACGTCACCCCTCGCTCTTGGGAGCCTTGGTGTTCAGAGATTGTTGCGTTGCCGCCCGTTCCTGAGCCTTGGCTGGGCCTTGGTGTCAAGAACTTGTTACGTCACCGCTCTCTGCTGGGAGCCTTGGTCTTATCAGCTTGTTTACGTCACCGTTCGCTCTTGGGAGCCGTGGTATGAAGAGCTTTTTGCGTTACCGATCGCTCTTTATTTGGCGTGCCTGGGCCTTCGTGGGAGTCCTATTGGGGCCCGTTTTGGAGCCCTTTTGGAGGCGGCCGCCGCGGGACAGACAGCCACTGCGGCTGGGGGGGAACTCCGATGGAAACTCCGTCTCCTCCTCCTCCTCCTCCTCCTCCTCCTCCTCCTCCTCCACCCCCTCCCCCTCCTCCTCATCCACCCCCTCCCCCGTCCTCCTCCTCCTACCCCTCCTCCGCCTCCTCCTCCTCCTCCTCCTCTTCCTCCTCCTCCTCCTCCTCCTCCTCCTCCTCCTCCTCCTCTTCCTCCGGGAGGCCATTTCGGAGCTCTTCGAGCGGGGCGCGGCCAACGAAGGTGGCCAAGGACGGACCGAGGAGGCAAGGATGCAAGGGTCAAGGTCGCCTATCCTTACGATGCGGTCTGGCTGTATACGCCACGAGAATACATACTTATATACAAGTACGCCCTCCGACGAACTTCGCCTGTACCTTCAGGGAGGGTGGCGGTGTATGAAGCTGGTGGCCCTCGGTGGTGGATTATACACCGCTACACTCTCGTGAGACCCAGGAACAATCCAACGGAGGGTGTCTGTATGTATTTTGAGGCGGGGTTAATATCCATATCCAGTGCGTCTCGGACTTTCTTGGAAAGAGCGCCACGAGGCCGAGGCGCACTGGATATGGATCAGCATCCAGCCTCTGGGGGCCAGGCTTTCATCCATATCCAGTGCGCCTCGGTTTTCTGGGGCAGGGAGCCCGAAACGCCAAGCTGCAGCGGATATGGACACGAGTCTTGCCCGCAGACCAGCCGCAGCCCCGCGCGCACGGCCCAGCCCTGGGCAGCGAGCCGCCCAACCCACCCGCGCCACCCCCCCTGGCTGCCGGGCCGCGGGCCCGGGGGTCCGAGGGCCCCCCCAAACGTTCACGACACCCGACCAGCAGAGCGCAAACATCGTGGGCAACGCCAGCGGTGGCGCGACGACATATCACAGCTCGTAGACCAGACAATTGGGAAAAACACCAAACATAGCTTGGATGGTGCTTGCGACAGCTGCTCTGGGACAGTTTGGAGCGCGCCGTCCTTCAGCACATCCAGTGAACGGGCGCCAACCCACCCGCGCTGCTCCTAAGGGACCCGCTGGGCCAGCCGGCCAGCGGACTCGGCACGCTCCGCTCCGCCCCGCTCCGAGGCCCCAGCGCGGCCTGCTTGAGCCCCTTCGGCGGCTCGATGGTCATCTTGACGCCCATCTGCAGGATGGAGATCGGGAAGGCGGGGGACGGACAGGCCGTGAGCCAGAGCCGGAAGTCGGGGTTCATCTCGTCGACCTCGGGCGGGGATCGGGCGCGGCCCGACCGACTCCTGTCGTGACCAGCACCTTGCGTGACGCCGTCCTCACGCTCCAAACGTCCCCCTGACCGCACACATACGCCTTGGGGGAGGCGAGAGGGACGTCACGGATGAGGAGGAGGAGGAGGAGGAGGAGGAGGAGGAGGAGGAGGAGGAGGAGGAGGAGGCGAGGAGGAGGAGGAGGAGGAGGAGGAGGAGGAGGATGAGGAGGAGGAGGGGGGAGGAGGAGGAGGAGGAAGGGGATGGTTTGCTGGGGGTCTGTTAGGCCCGACCCAGGGGCCCCCTTCTGGGGGAAACGTGAGAGGAGACTCGGGCTCGGGGGGCCTCGGGTTGGCCTGGCGGGGCCGTCAGGAAAGTGACGAGACCCGATCCTGAATCTGACGCGAGCTCCCGCTGTAGACATCCTACGAAAACTGGCCCGTCAAGATTCTGGATGGGCCCGTCGAGAGCACGGGCCAACCCGAGCCGAGTTCATATGCAAGTTCGAAACCTACGTTTCCCGGACCCGTAGGGCCGCCACCAAGGCAGACAGCTCAGGGCACAGACTCTGGCGCTGACACCAGACGTAAGAGACAGAAGAAGGACGAAGATAACCTCGGATGAGGATGCGTCGGGAACCTCTGAGAACTGGCGGGCCTTCAAGGTGCATCTGGCGCCGCGGCCAGCTCCAGAGCGTTCCAGAATGCTCTGTGACCACCTACCAGACAACCCCAACCCAACCCGAAGTCCCAAATTTCCGGTTCGGGGGCAAAACAGGTCCGATATCCTGTTGTCTCGTGTTCCAGAATGCCCTCCCCCACTGGACATGGAAGGCAGCTTGGGGCCTTCGGGTTGGGTTGGGGTGATTTGGTGGGTAGCGACTCTGGGAGCGCTCTGGGGCGCTCTGGAGCCAGCCAGGCGTGCCTGAAGATCCGTCGGCGACGGCACTCCGAGGCCTGCGGGCGGCGCCCGCCACCCCGGGAGAGGTCGACGCCGGCGCTGCCCCTCTGGAAGAGCCTCCGACCTCCGAGAACCTCTCGGGAGGCCTCCGAAAATATCGGAGGCCCTTGGCTGATCGTCCCTCGTCGTCGTCGTCGTGACGATCCGGGGTCTGGGCCCCTAAATCGACTACCTACCAGACCACCCGAACCCAACCCGCAGGCCGAAAACTCGGGTGGGGTGGGGTTATGGGTTCCACATGTGATTTTGTCCATGTTCCGACGCCCCCCCAAAGGGAATGGAGGGCAAATCGGGGCCGTCGGGTTGGGTTGGGGAGGTTTGGCGGGTAGTGATTGGGCCCAAGAATGAGCCGTCAGAGCTGAGGACTGAGGCTTAAGGGAATGAGGCAACGGACCTGGGAGCACAACAGAAAGCTCTGGGAACCAGCAGAAACCTCGGGGAATGCCGCCTGGGGCGCTGCAGCGCTGCAGCGCTGTGCGCAGCCCCCCGTGCAGGCACAAAGAGCCCCCCGGCACGCAGGTGCTGACCCCAGCCCAGACCACTGAGGCCTGCAACGACGCACTCGCTCTCGACGGCGGCCCCAACCTTCGAGAGCGCGGCATCCCTTCTCATTGCCACCGACCTTGCAGACGTACTGCAACGGGTTTCTGCGTGGATCCCTGCCAACGCAAAACTCCCGAACTGGCAAGCGAAAAGCGAAGTGAATGTCGCGTGGATTTTTGCGTTTCGTCTTCATTCCGGGCCAAGAAAAATCCGCACGAAATTCACCTCGAGGTCCGGAACGAAATTCTCCGGAACACCCCGGGCGCACCCTATCGCTTTCCGAACGAAATCCGCTCTGCGATGTTGGCGCCATGACCCTTCCGCCTCCGCAGCCTTGTGCAGCCTCTGCCACTCGGCGACACGTAAGAGTGACCCTAGGCAAGAGTGCCCTTTGGTGCGCGGCCTTAGGGGGGCCCGTGGGGGCCTGGAGCAACCGCGCAAGCCGAGGCCGTCGGATTGCATCAACGATCGGCGGGGCGCGCTTCGATAGATCCCTAGCGCCAGCAGGCAATTGCGGATTTCCGCCAATTCGTCCCGGGCGCCCCAAAACACCCGCCCGAGGGCTCTGCGAAGCCGGACGTAATTGGGCACCACCGCGGCATGTTCTGGCACTGCCGGGCCGCATCGCGATGACGTCTGACCGGGTCCGGCGTCAAGGCCGAAACTGGGCCGAAACTGGGCCCCCCCGCGGCCACGAATAACTTTCAATAGTAAAGAATTGAGTTGTAGAGCGCGGAATGCGAAAAGATATTCAAAGTTAGTCAAAGTTAATCAAAACTGGTCAAAATTATTCCGGGACGATTTGAGACCGGTCCCAAAGCAGAGAGCACGTCGCCCGCTCGACTGGGACCCCCCTCGCCAAACGAAGCACGCGGCAGAATACACCGTGCATGCGTTGCGATGAATTGCGAGGGGCGCACCCTGAATCAAGCGCGCTCTGATGCGATCGCAGACTGGCGCAGCGTGCGCCGACGCGAGGCCGAGCGCACTCCTCAAGAAAATCTGCCCAACATCATTAGGCCCAACACTAAAGGTCACTCTGGCCAAGGGTTGCGCTGCAGGTCGTGGCCCACGACCTGCAGCGCAACCTCCGGTCCCCTCTTGCCGTGAACACCCGCGCACGGTTTACTCCCCCGCCGCTCCTGCCCGTCTGGGAGACATCGGGCGTTGGCAGCACTGGGCTTAGTGTTGGGTTGTGCATGTCCCCCCACAGGCGGATTTGGGCGAATATGCAAAGAAACTATTTAAATTAGCCTGGCGAAGGACCCAACCAGACGCAGTTGTGAATACCGCAATTGCGAATATACTATTCGGTGGCGCTCCCTATGGGGTCACGCACCGTATGAGGGGTGTGCCGGATTTTGTGATAGGGCACACAACTCGAACGAAAACGAGATGTCTGAGCATGAAAGCTTGAGCGCGGGCGAGTCTAAGCGCGAGTGAACCTGATTCTGAATGATTACGCGTGCGATGGATTCGATTTGCATGACTGCGAGAATGGATTCGCCTAATGTAAATGCATACGACTGTGAATGGTTTGCGTCTGCCTGACTCTGAGAACTCGTGACACTGAGCGTAGCCTCCGCAAGGAGTTTTCCTGGGAACCCTGACGGCAGCGCCCGCGCGCCGCGACGCCCATGTCGGCACGTCCCACACGAGGATCGCGCCCGCTTCCTCCCATGTTTTTCCTTCCTCTTTGCCCGCGCACTCCAAAATTCAAAGCTGCGGGCGCAACGCTACGCGGAGTCCCCGCGACGCGCAGGTCGGACGTCGACGACGGACGACGACGACGACGACGACGACGACGACGACGACGACGACGACGAAGAAATCGGCCCTAGGAAAGCTGTCGGGACCACAAGTTCCCTATGGGGCCACGAAACGTGTGAGTGGTGTGCCGAATTGGGTGTGCGGGACGCATCCGGACGGCGGCATTGGGGCCTTCGGTGCAGCTCCCTATGGGGCCACGAAACGTGTGAGTGGTGTGCCGGACTGGGTGTGCGGGACGCATGCGGCCGGCAGCACTGGGGCCTTCGGTGGCCGAATTCGGTTTGCGGGACGCATGCGGGCGGCGGCACTGGGGCCATCGGTGGAGCTCCCTATGGGGCCACGAAGCGTGTGAGGGGTGTGCCGAACTGGGTGTGCGGGACGCATGCGGGCGGCGGCACTGGGGCCTTCGGTGGAGCTCCCTATGGGGCCACGAAACGTGTGAGCGGTGTGCCGAATTGGGTGTACGGGACGCATGCGGCCGGCAGCACTGGGGCCTTCGGTGGCCGAATTCGGTTTGCGGGACGCATGCGGGCGGCGGCACTTGGGCCATCGGTGGAGCTCCCTATGGGGCCACGAAGCGTGTGAGGGGTGTGCCGAACTGGGTGTGCGGGACGCATGCGGGCGGCGGCACTGGGGCCTTCGGTGGAGCTACCTATGGGGCCACGACGAGCGTGTGAGGGGTGTCCCGAATTGGGTGTGCGGGACGCATGCGGCTGGCAGCACTGGGGCCTTCGGTGGAGCTCCCTATGGGGCCACGAAGCGTGTGGAGGGTGTCCCGAATTGGGTGTGCGGGACGCATGCGGCCGGCAGCACTGGGGCCTTCGGTGGAGCTCCCTATGGGGCCACGAAACGTGTGAGGGGTGATGGTGCTGATGACGGCGATGATGATGACGATGATGGTGATGATAACGGGTGAGAGGAGGGAGGAGGGGGAGGAGGAGAAGGAGGGAGGACGCGGGGCGCTGTCTCTTCAAAGCGAGGACCCAACACCACAGGATGGTTGGGAAATATTCACAGATAGTCAAACCAAAAACTCAAAAATCGTCCCCAGATTATTTTTCACCATCTTTGAATATTCCTCCTGTCGAGGGACATGCCCGACTCAAGCTTAGTGGGACCTGGTTTGGTGATGTGTACTGGGGGACGCCCCCACGCCCCACTCCACTAACTGGAACTGCCGCCAGCGGTTTCCCATCCAGGTTTGGGGCTCTGGGGCCCAGGCAAACGGGGGTCGGTCGGAGCGCCGGACCTTGCAGCGTACTGCAGCGCCAGGGGCACACTGACTGACCCGGGCTGTGGTGCAGGACCCTGCAGAATCCGAGAGGATCCTGCAAGGCCTGATTGGCCCAGGTCTGGAGCGACCCGGGTCAGAAGATCCCAGCTGCCACAGTCGGCCCGTATCAGAAGGATGCGCGATACGGATGCAGGGGCCTGGGACGCCCGCTCCGAGGCTTCTCGAGCGGGGCGCGGCAACGAAAGCGGTCAAGGATGGACCGAGGAGGCAAGGATGCCAGGGCACCCTTGGGAAGGCTGCCCACCCTGACCATGCGGGTGGACTCTACTCGGGGGCGGCCAAGGAGGGGGGGCGCCCAAGGAGGGTGGGGGCGCAGGTCATGGGCAGGGGCATGTGCGCGGCCCAGGGGGGGGCGGGGACGCATGGAAACAAGAGGGGGCGCCATGAAAGCTGGGGAGATGTCATGGCCCCCGCCATGATATCCACCCACCCCCAGTCATCCCCCCCCCTCTTTGCCGCCCCCGATGTACTGTAGCCGGCTCCCTCTCACCAGGGTCCTGTAAGCATCGTTTATCCGACCCCCATCCCCAGCGGCCTGGCCTGGGCCGCACTGGCCGAGTTACCCCCCTGGATGGAGACATAGGCCGTTCCCTTCGGGTTTCGAGGGGTGCATCGCCAACTGGGGGGGGCAATTTGGTGGGGGTCTCGAAGGGGATGGGGATGGGGATGGGGATCGGTGAAACGGTACTGATCCTGGCCGCCACCCGCTCCACGGCAAGGGGCAGCGCAGCGCCCTCTTCGGTCGACGCGCCCCCCTCCCCCCCCAACTTGCAGCACCCCGCTCGAGGCGCCTCCCCAAGAGCAACCACCGCGAGGACGCGTCGTCTGAGCCTGCTCGCTGGAGGCGGCCCGCTGGCGGTGATGGAGCCGCTTCTCCTCCAAAAACGAAGCCAGGACGAGGACAAGTTCGGGTGGGGATAACTTCGGGTGAGGATAAAACGAAGCGAGGACGAGGAGGTTATCCTCGTCCTGGCTTCGGACGAGGATATTATGCTCACCCGAACTTAAAGTTCGGGTGAAGATAGATCGAGAATCTCTGAGCCGGCGGCTCTGGAGGATGTGTTGGGCGTCGCGGTCTTCTCAGAGCGCTCCGGAGCGCTCTGAGTGTCCCGGAACGCTCTGGAACGGAATTAGACTCGTCCTAGCCCCGCCCGACCTTCCTCCGAGATCGGGCATCGACAGTAGGATCTCGACCACATGAAACCTTCTGCTAGAACCTCAACCCTGAGACCCCAGGACGTCCATTGATACTTGGTGTGGGAACGTCACGCCTTCCATGGCAGAACCGTCGAAACCCAAGAAACCCAGGGCATCCTGGAGGCAAGCAGGGTGTTTCTTGGCATTGGTTTCCACTGCATCCTCATCCTAGCCCCGCCCGACCTTCCCCCGAGATCGAGCATCTAGCGGTGCGATGCTTATCGGGGGCGGGTTCGCGCCGTGATGACCTGCGAAGTGCTTCCTCACATCGTGTGAAATCTTCGACCCCGAACGGTCGCAGCCTCTAGGTCGCGCAGGATCCATCGATGTCGGCCGACTCCGGCCCAGTAGCATCGCTCAACCTCGAATGAAGGCCCAAAAACGGCCCGATAATGTCGAATTTCGATCATCGACGTCGACGACGACGACGACGCCGCCGCCGCCGCCGTTGCCCGAGCCCGGATCGCCGCCGCGTCGAAGCAGCACGAACCTGCCGTATTCGCTTTGGTCGCCGCCACGATTTGCCGCAGGCACGCCATCATCGAAGCGATTGGGCGGTGGGCAGCAGAGCCCAGGATCGATTCGATGTCGGCTCGGCGATCGGAGTGAATCGGATCGGCGAAAATCGGCGGCCGAGTCAGGAGAAGTCGAATCGGCGGAAATCGGCAGGCTAGTGGGCCTCCATTGAGACATCGGAGCCCCAGTCGAAGTCAGAAGTCCAATCGAACCACGACGACCACGACAACCACGACCACGACGGCGACGACGACGGCGACGACGACGGCGACCACGACCACGACCACGACCACGACCACGACCACGACGACCGCGACGACCACGACGACCACGACCACGACCACGACGACCACGACGACGACGACGACGACGACGCCGTTGACGTTGACGACGACGACGACGACGACGACGACGACGACGACGACGACGACGACGACGACGACGGCGACTGCCCCGGCGGGGAGCCCGAGGGCCCAGGCGGATGCGGCAGGCGGAGGAGGAGCGAGCGGCCCGCGGCGGCGCGCACGGGGGCGGGTGGGCGCGAGGGGTGCGGCGGGCTGCGCAAGTCAGGAGAGCGCAGAGTCGAATGGACAAGTCGGATCGGCGATCGAAATGAGTCGGATCGGGGGAAAATCGGCAGCCGAGTCGGGAACATCGGAGACAACGGAGCTCAAACGGGAGTCCGAAGTCGAATCGAATCAGAATCGGAAGCCACCAAAATCGAATCGATTCGAATCGGAGGAATCGAAATGAGACGTCGCGCTCCCGCGCTGCGCCGAGCGCGAAGCGCGAAGCGCGAACGACCTCGCGCTCTCGCGCCGCCCCCCAGGGGAGCAGAGAAGAACGAGGACGAATCGCAAAACGCGAAGCGCGAAGCGCGAAGCGCGAAGGCCGAATATCTTCGCGCCCTCGATGGGGGGCTTCTGAGAAGCAGAACGGCCTCGAAGGGTCCCGAGGCTTCTAAGAGAGGCCGCCTCGGGAGACCCCGGGCCCCTCGCAAGGAGGCCCTCGCTCGGCGACGGGCCCACTGCCTTCTCTCAGGCCCGCCCCCCTCGCGCCCAACCTCCCATGCGTCCCGCCAAGGCCCATGCCCGGAAGCCGGGCGAGGGCTGGCAAATCTGTGGCTGCTAAAACGGTCTTCCCAGAAGAGAAAGACAAAATCCCGGAATAAAACTCAACGCGTCACATAATAGCGGGCTGCTTCCTGGAAGAAAAAACACATTCCCAGAGCTCCGTTTTAGCAGCCACGGGTTTGCCAGCCTTCCCCTGGCTTCTGACATGCACACAACGACTGTGCGCTGCGTCTGGACGTGAACCAGAAAGCACACGGCACCACCCCACCTGCCGCCCCACGGGGCTCAGCGCACACCTGGAAAAATCTGGCGTGGGCTGCTGCGGGGTATACGCTACGGCGCCCGATGGGGGCCGCAGCGCAACATGGAAGGCCGCAGGTGGGGCGGTGCCATTTGTGTGTAGTCGACAAGGCCCATGCACACGACGACTGTGCGCTGCGTCTGGGGGGGGGCCTGTTCCACGAACTTCTCCACGATGCCCTCCAGCGTCCCCATGAAGCTCGGAGCCAGGTGGCAATTCTGCAGCAGCACCCACTTCCCGCTGCTGGCGCCCTCCTTGACGCCAGCGATCGCCTCGCGGGGCCAACTGCGGCGGGCTGACGCCGCACGAGACGATCGGGATTCGGTGCTGCACGAGGGGGGGGAGGAGGAGGGGGAGGAGGAGGAGGAGGAGGAGGAGGAGGAGGCGGAGGCGGAGGCGGAAGAGGCGGAAGAGGCGGAAGCGGAGGAGGAGGAATGCCACTCGCGCCGTCCTGCCGAGTGATGGCTCCAGGTGTGCGTTCCGAAGGGCGGCGGTGGTTGAGCGGAAGATGCGAAAGTGATGGGAGCAGCAAAAGCGACGGACGGGAAGCGGCGCAGCACTGCGAGGTGCCTCCTTCCGCCGCACCCCGTTTACGCGCGTCTACCCCGTGTGCCCGCCCGTGCCGCTTCGTACGATATACCTCCTTACATCTAGCCAGATCCCTGCCAATTGATTAGAAAAGAATTGTCATGCCCTTGGAGACCCCTGCGCCGACTCCCTGCTTGTCCTCCTCCTCTTTCTACTTCGCCTCGTCCACCACAACCATCATCATCTTCATCGTCATCGTCAATATCGTCATCGGCTTAGTCGGCATAAACGGCATCATCACCATCACTATCATCCGCATAAGGACCATCACCATCGCCGTCGCTATCGTCATCACATTCATCGTACTCACTATCGCCATCGTCATCCTCATCATCATTACCACATCCATCACAATCATCGGCATCATCATTATAAGCACACTCCACGCCATCATAATAGTCGTCGCCATCGTCACCGAGACCATCACACGCGTCTGCATCGTCGTCAGTAGAATCAGCATCGGCACCAACAGCATCACCATCATTACCATAAAGCATCAATGCCGTTATCAATATCGCCGTAATGATCATAGTCCGCAACCGCATCAGCATCACCATCAGCATCAGCATGAGCCATCGACAACATCAAATACGTCATCCCCGACATCCTCGTCATCCCCATCAACACCGTCGTCATCGTGACCGTCCGAAACATTATCATAGTCGCCGTCGACATCGTCATCATCGTCATCATCACAACTGGTATCAGCGTAATCGTCATAATTGGCATCGTCGTCAACACCCCCATGTTCGGCATCATCATTGTCATCATCGTCATCATCAGCATCAGCATCAGCATCATGATCATGATCATCATCACCATCATCAGCAGCATCATCAGCACCACCAGCATCATCAGTAGCATGAGCATCATCATCGTCCGCATCAGCATCATCATCATCATCATCATCAGCAGCAGCAGCAGCAGCAGCACCATCATCACCATCATCATCATCAGCATCATGAGCATCATCTGCATCAGCATCAGCATCATCAGCAGCAACATCACCATCACCATCGGCATCAGCATCAGCCTCGTCATCATGGTTATCGGAATCGTCATCGTCACCATCGCCATCATCATCGACACCATCATCCCAAGCACACTCATCCTCCCTTCCCACCTCCTCATCCGCCTCCTCCTGCCCCATCCGTATCCCCCTCGGCATCAGCATCACCAGCATCATCATCAGCATCATCAGCAGCAGCAGCATCCGCAGCAGCATCAGCACGACCACCATCACCATCAGCATCACCATCACCACCACCAACACACTCATCATTATCAGCATGACCACCACCACCATCATCAGCAGTAGCCTCATTATCATCAGCATCAGCATCATCACCATCAGCATCAGCATCAGAATCAGCATCATCATCACCAGCATCATCATCACCATCGTCATGACCACCACCACCACCACCACCACCACCACTACCATCATCATCATCATCATCATCATCATCATCCTCATCATCAGTATCATAATCAAACACCACCACCAGCATCCCGCCTTGACCGCTGTATTCCCACGTCATGTGGTGCGAAGAGGAGGAACTACATACCAGGTAGAGGGATGAATGACGAGAATGAAAATGGTGGAGGGGGAGGAGGAGTGATGAGTAGCAGCAGCAGGAGCAGCAGCAGCGGGAGAACAACGAGGGAGCGGAGAGAAGGGGGGAGGGGAAGGGAGGAGGGGAACGAGGAAAGAGGGGGAAGGAGGAGAGAGGAAGAGGATGAACAGTACTAGCAGCATGACAGGACGCAGCAGACCTGACACCGTAGGCCCTACTCGTGGTCCAGAGGCTGTTGGCTGAGATCCTGGAGGCTCCAGGGAAATGAAATCCACATGGTCAGGGACTCTCCAGGGGGACACGGGATAGCCCAAGTTCCTGGAAACGTTCACCTTCCTTACGAAGCAGCGCAAGCGGCTCGGCGATGACCTGCCCGTCGGCAGACAGTGTCCTGGACAGCTGCCCTTACTCCACAGGCTTAGTCCAGCTGTGGGAGTGTCTGCTGCTCTTCGAAAGGAGGAGGATAATCCGCCGATCCGGCGTGTGAGTTTCTGAGAGCGTGGGCTTGAGCTCGCTCAAGCTTCGCTCTGCGGGGGGGGGACCTCATTTTCGACCTAATTCAGTGCTTCGCACCCCCCCCCCCTCCAGAGCGACACCCCCCCTGCAGGGCCCCCCCCCCCCCCCCCCCTCCTGCAGCCCAGCCCCCCCACCCGCCCTGCAGAGCGGACCCCCCCCCTGCAGCCCCCGCCCCCTGCAGAGCGGACCCCCCCCCCCCTCCCCTCACCGCCCTCCCCTGCAGAGCAGACCCCCCTTGCAGAGCGGACCTCCCTCCTGCACCCCCCCCCTGCAGAGCGACCCCCCCCCCCCCCCCCCCCTTGCAGAGCAGACCCCTCCGCACCCCCCTGCAGAGCGGACCCCCCCCCTGCAGCCCCCCCCCCCCCCCCCTGCAGAGCGGACCCCCCCCCCGTGCAGCCCCGCCCCCTGAGGCGGACCCCTCCCCCCTCCCCTGCACCCCTCCCCTGCAGAGCGGACCCCCCCCCTGCAGCCCCCCCCCCCTGCAGAGCGGACCCCCCTGCCCCTGCCGAGCGGACCCCCCCTGCAGAGCAGACCCCCCCCCCTGCAACCCAGCTCCCCCCCCGTCGTCGTCGTCGTCGTCGTTGTCGTCGCGTCGTCGTCGTCGTCGTCGTCGTCGTCGTCGTCGTCGTCGTCGTCGTCGTCGTCGTCGTCGTCGTCGTCGTCGTCGTCGTCGTCGTCGTCGTCGTCGTCGTCGTCGTCGTCGTCGTCGTCGTCGTCGTCGTCGTCGTCGTCGTCGTCGTCGTCGTCGTCGTCGTCGTCGTCGTCGTCGTCGTCGTCGTCGCGTCATCGTCGTCGTCGTCGTCGTCGCTCGCGTCGTCGTCGTCGTCGTCATCGCCGTCGTCGTCGTCGTCGTGTTCGTTGTCGTCGTCGCTCTCGTCGTCGTCGTCGTCGACGTACTCGTTTTCGTCGTCGTTTTCGTCTTCCTCGTCGTCGTTCATTTCCACAGACACCCGGAGCGCCCCGGATCGGCGGCACTGGCCGGAGGCCACTACAATATCCCCATGGTGGCGGGTCGAGAGGAGAAGGGGACTCGAGTTCCAAAGAATTCTACTTAGCACTGCCCTGTCAGCGCTCCACGTTCCCCTCCTTCCTCGGGCTGCCTCAAAGACTGGTCGTGCAATTTGGCAGCCCTGCGCTCCCTGTTACCCGGTGGACTCGCCGCGCCGATCCTGGGCGCTGCCCCAGATCATGCTTGTGACGAGGCAGGTAGGTGGCAGGTTGCGTTCCCCCGAGCGGCGTGGGTGAGTGGCTCCTCCATCGTGCAGCTTTCTCTCTCTCTCTCTCACTCGGGCGGGGCAGTGGGGTGGAAACATCCCCACGCCGCGGGGCGTGCCCAAAATGAACATCGCGCCTGCCCGCCCAGAGGCACATGCCGCAGGCCCGCTCCTGTGACGCTCTGGCTGGTCGAGTGCAGCTGGCGCCTCGGCGGTGCAGTGCTGGCCACGGCTTCTGCGGTGGCCGCTGCTGCGCTCACGTGCAGTGGCCCTGTGCGCAGCTGGTCGTGCGCTGCCCGCGCGTGGCGTCACCGCTCCGTCGTGCCCGACTGCAGTCGCGGCAGCATATCCGGTGCTGGCTCCACGTGTGCAGTTGGGGCTGTCGCCGTGTGCTCAGCAGTGTGGTGCTGGCCTTACGCCTTGCGCAAAAACAGTGGAGGTGGGCCGCCGCTGCCCTGTCTGCGAGCGTCTGCTCTGAGCGTGGTTAAAGGGCCCACTCCTGGTGTTACTTCCTCCTCCTCCTCCTCCTGCTCCTCCTCCTCCTCCCCCTCCTGTTCCTCCTTCACTCCTTCACTCCTTCTCCGCCTCCTCCTCCTCCTCCTCCTCGAGGACTTTCTTGGGTCACTGCTCCTCCTCCTCCTCCTACTCGAGAATTACATATGGCTCCTGGCCATTATCGAGGAGTGCCTCAGTGTGCCTCCTGCTCTTCCTCCTCCTCCTCCTCGTCCACCTCCTCCTCCGCCTCCTCTTCTTCTGCTTATTAGACTCGTTCTCCGTAGTAGTAAGATTGATCGTAGTATATGTGGTAGTCTTAGTATTATGGTTACCCTTAAACTTCCTAGTAATATGAGTATCCGTCATGTTCGTCGCATTATTCTTCGAAGTATTATCAATACTTGTATCAGTATGGTACGTAGCCTGTTCATAGCATAGCTAGTACTGGTAGTCTGTTCATCTCATAACTAGTACTGGCACTGTAGTTTTATCATTATGTATCGTATCACTTGCATCCGCATTCGCAGTCGTATGATTACTCATAATGTTCAGAATATTAGCATCAGCGTTCGTATCCGTATTATTCGTATATCTAGTATTCGTAACCTTGATATGTTCATGAGCAGTAGTCGTAGCATGCGTCTTACTAGTAGTATTAATGTTCATACGAGTCGAATTATACGTATGAGTATTACTGATACGAGTACCACTGCTACTCGTAATCGCATTACTAGCAGTATGAGTAGCATTCCTGATTGGATTCGTTTGCTGGTCTGTCATAATTGAACTCTTCTGATTCGTGTTCATAATAGTATTGACATGATGAGTCGTATGCGCATTCGTGTTAACATCGTGTGCCTTAGTACTAGCTTTACGATTGTGGTTAATAAGAGTAGCATTCGTCATCGTACGGTCAGCCTGTCACTATTAGTATGTATAATACGCTTAGCTCTGTTGTCAGTGTTCCGATTGATAAGGTTGATAACCTTGGCACTCGTCGTATTACCATCCGTCGTCGTAGCATTCGCCGCATTATTCGTTTTAGTCTAGTTCGAAAAGTACTTTTATCAGTGCTAGCATCATTCGATAATTACGATATGTACTATTATCCGTGCTAGCACTATACGATAATTACGATAATTACTGTTGTTACGATAATTACTATTATCCGTGATAGCATTATTCGATAGTTACTGGCATTACGATAATTACGATTACCCGTGCTAACATCATTCGCCTTCCTCCTCGTCCTCCTCCTCGGGGACTGCCTTGGGGCCCTGCCCTTGGCCCAGGCTGATGGGATTGATCTTGGCCAGCATGTCCAGGCCCTCGGCCAGGCGCTGGATGTCCGCCATCGGGTCGCTGGCAAGAGGGGAGGAAGGGAACGCGTCTCGCCCAGGTCTTCTTCGTCGTCGTGATCCTCCTACTCCTGCTCCTCCTCCTCCTCCTGTTCCTCCTCCTCGTCCTCCTCCTCCTCCTCATCAGCATAACCTCCTCCTCCTCATCATCATCACTATACTCTTCCTCCGCCTCATCTTCCTCCCACTCCTCCTCGTCCTCGTCCTCGTCCTCCTCCTCCTCGGCCTCGTCCTCCTCCTCCTCCTCCTCCTAGTCCTCGTCCTCGTCCTCGTCCTCCTCCTCCTCTACCTCCTCCTCCCCACCCCACTCCTGCTCTTGTTCCTCCGCATCCAGCTCCTCTTCCTGCTCCTCCACGCGTTCCTCCCCAACCTCCTCAACAGCAGCAACATCAGCATCAGCGTCAGCAGCAGCAGCATCAGCATCATCGTCATTATCATCAGCATCATCAGAAGCATCGTCATCAGCATCACCAGCATCATCGTCGTCATTATCATCATCATCATCATCATCATCATCATCATCATCATCATCATCATCATCATCATCATCCTCATCATCATCATCATCATCATTATCATCATCATCATCATCATCATCATCATCATCATCATCATCAGCATCAGCATCATCATCATCATCATCATCATCATCATCAGCATCATCATCATCATCAGCATCATCATCATCATCAGCATCATCATCATCATCAGTAGCATTAGCATCGTCATGATCGACATCATCGGCATCATCATCACCATAATCAGAAGCATCGTCATCATCAGCATCGTCACCATCATCAGCATCGTCGGCAGCATCAGCATCACCGTCATCAACATCATCGGCAGCATCATCATCATCATCATCATCAGCAGCAGCAGCATCATCATCATGAGCATCATCATCACCCTCATCGTGAGCATCATCAGCATCAACATCAGCAACATGCTCAGCATCAGCCTCATCAGCATCAGCAGCAGCATCATCATCAGCAGCATCATCAGCATCAGCATCACCACCACCACCATCAGCATCATCATCATCATCATCAACATCATCATCAGCATCAGCATAATCAGCATCACCATCATCGTCATCATCATCAGTATCAGCAACATCGCCATCATCAGCATCATCGCCATCATCAGCATCATCATCATCCTCGTCAGCATCATCATCATCATCATCATCATCATCATCATCAGCATCATCATCATCAGCGTCATTATCATCGTCATGATCACCATCATCAGCATCGGCGTCAGCATCAGCATCATCACTATCAGTATCAGCATCGGCATCATCATTAGCAGCAAAATCATCACCATCATCATCGGCAGCATCAGCTTCAGCAACATCAGCAGCATCATCATCAGTAGCAGCATCAGCATCAGCAGCATCGCCATCACCATCACCATCATCATCACCATCATCATCATCATCATCATCATCATCATCATCATCATCATCATCCTCATCATATTCAGCATCACCATCCTCAGCATCACCACCACCACCACCACCACCATCAGAATCCACAACATCATCAGCATCATCAGCAGAATTCTCATCATCGCCATCAGCATCATAAGCATCAGCAGCATCAGTATCATCAGCATCGTCAACGTCATCATCAGCATCATCAGCATCATCAGCATCATCACCATAATCATCAACATAATCGTCGTCGTCATTGCTATCGTCATCATCGTCAGCATCATCATCTTAAGAGTATGATCAACAGCATCATCAGCATCATCATCGTCCACATCGTCCTCATTATCATCAACATCATCATCGTCAAT